GAGCGTCGTGAGGGACGAGGCGGAGAGTGTGGTGGATAGAGCGGTGAACGAGGAGGTGGTGGTCGTGTGCCGCGAGAGGGCGGATATCCCGGCGCCTTTGCGCATTGCGGCAGGGGGGGGTTAGGTTCTATGAGGGTTTTGTAGGAGATTGGGTGGGACAAGGGAAGGTCAAGCCATGGCGGGGTGTAGTCTCGCGCGCGTCTTCTATGGCTGGATGCCGGATTGGCTGTCGCGAGCAAAGCCGTAAGTTGTAGTTAGCGCAGCAGCAAGAACCGAAGTAGGAGATAAGAGCAAGTGCAAGACCTCTGACAATATTGCTACCCTACTCATACCGACCTCCTCATCGTCGTCACTCGTTCCGTCACTGCTCACCCCGTAGATCGGCGATCGCCGTGGAGATTTCCGATCCATCGGCAACGAGTAAACCCCCCGGGCCAGGTCTCTCCCCTTCTATCCCTCTGCCCTCCCATACCCGCACGACACTCCTCCCTACCCAACATGAGTCTCACGAGCATAAGCCGGCCATGCACCCGCCGCCCCATCTTCCTCTCCACCCTTATCGGGCCCTCCCAGCCCCGCCGCGCTCGGCGGTCGTTCGCATCGGCTCCCCCTCTTGACGTATCCGAGCAATTACGCCAGGTCATGCGCAACGTCCCGCAGGTGAGTAGGGTGACGGCGGCGGGGAGAGAGAGGGGGGGGGGCATTCGTACTGATGGAAGCCAGTAGCTATTGCTGTCACGAAAGGTCCGAATGGCCAGTATCACGGGGCGACACTCTCATCCTTCACGTCGCTCACTCTCCACCCTTACCCTCTCGTCGCATTCTCCCTGCGTCTCCCTTCGCGTCTGGCCGATTCACTGCGCCCCGCCCGGCCACTCGTCTCGCTCGTCAGCGAGAGTATCGCCGGCGAGCCGGGCTTGCCCCCTGACCCGCTTGCCAAGGCGCCAACACCCAAGGGCAAGGTACTAGGCATATCCCTCTTGTCCTCTCCGCACCACACCATCGCCGCCAAGCTCAGTCGACCAGGACAAGACCATTCGTCTCTCTTCGCCTCCTCTCCCTTCACCCAGCCCCAACAGGATGGTGCTGTGGAAATCACGCCCAAACTCCCCGACGCGATCGGCAACCTTCAATGCGAGATCGTCTCCTCCCTGCCGCTCAAGGACGTCTGCCCGATGACTGAAGACGAGATCGAGTTTGACGACGAGGTGGAAGGCGCGGGGTTGTACAAACCGACTTCTCCTCGACCTCTCCGACCGGAGGGGGAAAGTTCGGGCGAGTGGGACGGCGCGGCGGGAGATGCGGCGGTGCGAGACGGACGGATCCACGGGAGCGAGCTGTTCATCTGTCGCGTGTTGGAGGTCGAACATGGGTCGGGTGCCGAAGACCCGATGGTGTATTGGAGACATCAGTACACTTCGGTCAAGGGCCAGTGAGACTATCCATGGCAACGGGTCATGGTGTGTGGTCCGAAGGGGCTTTGTCCATGGGTTGTATGTATGGCGGATGGACCGACGCATGCACTTGGTCTGTAATCCCGATGCAATACAGGCCATTGTACATCCTGAACCCACCATAACAACCATACTCACCATACCCATCATACCACCACAACCACTATGCTGCAGCCAAGCCACCGCGTTGCGCTTTCGCATGGCACGCCGTACGTAGCACACAACTCCGCACTGTCTCAGCGGCGCGACAGGTGACAGCGTGACAGGCCAATCCCTCTCCATCGATGCTACAACCCTCGATGCATTCAAGTATCACTCCGTGCTGCCTGGTTGGATGACGAATGATTCGCGTCTTCGCGAGACATAGACCGACGCAGTGCCTCTGTCCCGGCAATGATGGCCCCATATCGACCGTGCACAGCACAGTCCCTCCGCCATCTGCCCATGCAATTAACCCTCACACAGTCTCCACCAAGCGCCCCGTCTCAATCCCCCAGAACAGCCACGCCGTCGTGACGAGCAAGAGCGCTCCCACCTTCCACCCAACCTCCCTTGCAATCACGTCCCAATCCCACGTCCTCCCCCATGTAAACCGGTCCCAGAAGTTCAAGCTCTCCGGGGCGATCCCAACGGGGCGGACCCTCGGCGTGACCTCGCCAGCGACGGTAGGGACGACATTGCTCGTCACCCATAGCTGGACCGTCCTCGACCATCCCGTCGTCACTCCGATGACGATCCACGCCAGCAACGGACGATTCGCTCCGAGGAACCACAGCGTGACGTAAGTAGCGGGCCAACAAAGACATTGCAGCGAGAGAAGCCGGGTGAGTGTCGAGGGAAGGGAATAGTAAGAGCGCCAGCGATGTGTCAATCCAGTCGTAAGGCAGAAGCAAAAGTGCGCCGTGCACAGTGCCTGTGTGTGAGCAAATGTCTCGCGCTTGAACTATGATCACCTACCCATGCCATCGCCAAGAGCATATCACCCCGGCTGACTCTTCTCGGCGTCCCTTCGTTCCATGCTCCACCCGCCACGAGCCGCTCGAGCGCGTCGCGTGACAGGTCAACCCCCCACGGCCAAACGTCGACGCCAATCTCCCCGGAGACGAACCCTTGGAACAGCACAGCGATGCCCCATACGCTCGGCACAACAGCCAAGAGGCGCAAAGACAACAGCGATGATTGTTGAAGGCGCCGCTCGATGATAGCCGGTATAGGATCTTCCTTTTTTACCACAGGCGGTGGTGTCTCCGGCCCGAAGGACAGTCCTAAGCCGCCCTTGTTCCTATCCACCGGGAGTCTTTGCCGCAGCCCTTTGCGTTTGGAAGAAAAGTTGATCGATCCAGAAGAAGGCGAGTCGGTCAGTCCCTCGTACGAGTCGTCATCGTCCGCATCAGCCCCTTCGCTCCCAGTGACCTCGCCCGTGTGATAGGGACCAGCGGGATCGGCCACGTTGAGGTGTGAGCGATGATCTCTGGGCGAAGAGCCCTCTGAAGACGTCGAGAGGAGAGGGGTGAGGGGTGACAGCGTGGCGGGCAGCTCTCGTGGTGACGCTCTGCGTAGACTTGAAAGCGCGATCGATGATCGTGATCTAGGTGATTGATGACCAGGAGTCGGCTGCGAACCGAGGGGAATGGAACGCGCGGGTGGGGTACGTCTCTTCAACGTTGTTGTTCTTCTAGGATCCGCGGTCTCTTTCGCGACTCCCCCTGCCCAACCCTCCAGGCGCGAACGCAAGGCGGTAAGGTCTGGCTGAGACTGAGCTTTATTACGCATCCCGTCGAAATCTCCGCTACCACTGGCGGAAGCAGGGCCCGGTTGGACATTGGAAGTATGACGATGTGGCCGGTAAGTCGCGTCCGAATCATTGCCCGACGTCTCCGTCTCGGTCTCCGAGGTCGATCCAGAACGAGGCGTGACCCGTGGATAGGTGCGTATTCTTGCGGCGGGGTTGAGAAGAGGCGGGAGAGACGACATGATCTGGTGGGGGGAGGTGATGGTCGGTTGGGACATGTGAGACGTGGAAGGGAGGGAGGCATATCGTGGTTGTGCTATATCTATTCCGCTTGTTCCACCTGCATCATGGGAGACTCGCCGCTGAGGAATTGGGATATGGAGGGAGCGAGTGCGAGCGACGGGTGATCGGGAAGGTGCATGGACCGGCTGACCCAGTTCGATGCTGGATATCTTTGATAACGGGGTAAGTCCAGTCACCTGGAGGCTCCCCGCGGGACTGGTCGGGGCAGATTTGGACGAGTTATGAGATCTGGACCGCTGGTACGTAGGCCGGGACGGACCAGAGATAGCTGTGAAGCCGTGAAGCGGGGCGTTGGGGGACGGTGGGGTCCTCGGATGAGGCAGGAACGCGAGGTCTTGTCGAGGTGAGAATGCCATGGCCATGTTGATGTGCTGATAAACGACCACCAAGGGGAGCGGCTAACATAGCCTCTAAGCGGGAGGAGGGCAGCAGGGCTCAGCGGAGTGCCATGGTCGTAGGCTGAAAGACACGTCGGTGATGTGAGCTGGACGGGTCGATAGGTTGGTATCCAACAGAAGCAGATGAGAGGATCCAGTGAAAGCGTCGAGTGGAGGTTCGGGCAGCAGTTCAAGGCACGTGGCGAAAGGATGTGGCGATATTCAAAGTCTACTGCGCTCCACGATCAAGAACCAGGCAGTCGCTGGCCTGCCCTAGCCAAGCTCGTTGGAGATAAATGATACTGAACGACCGGAAGGTCAATGCTCGCAAACTTGCGAGGAGCTTGGGAAGCAGAGTCGAGGGACTTCATGTAGAGCTTCTCTTGCTTTCGGGAGTGCTCACCAGAGGAAGAGCATAAAAGGCATTTCGGGGACCGAAGGCGAGGGGTGGGCACACGTCAGAAGGTGGCCTTCTTACTCTTAGATCGTCCTTTTAGGTCACATCAGGCTTACCTAGGTGTGGAATACCTATGAAAGGAGCTGACAAGGGCTCCTAACTGAAGCAATACATTCGCGCGCAAGACACCCGACATCAGCTGTCACGGTCAGACTGATACTCGCACATGAGATAGTAGAACGATACAATGAGGCAATGATGACTCTGATTTATGAATTCAGTCTTATATGCTAGGAGAGCCATCGAGGGTCGAGCGTACCGGGACCGCTGAGGCGAGCAACAGTGCCACTCTACGGTCCCTCGGTCGCTGTAGCACCCTTGCGTCTAATGGAGGTCAATAAGGATGAGTGAGTTACCGTATCGCCCTCGTGTACTTTGTCGGCCACCCAGACCCTATGTGCTGAATGAAAAGGCACAGACACGGCACTGGGACCTCTTGCGACGCGAAGTTGGCTCTCCGAATATCAATCATTGCATCTTTCTCCTTCTCCCTTGTTCCCGCCGACCTCGTGCCTACCCATTATTGAAACAGGTACAACTGAGAGCAATAGACACGCCATAAACTGAGCAGAGGAAGGCAGAAGAACACAGAGATGGTGTGAAGTACGTGATCAGCCGTAGTCTTATTTTATAAACATTTTTTTCACTATATATACACCATTGCTGTATGGTTCACAACGACTGTGGTGAAATGGCTATCATGCGACCTTGCCACGAGGATATGTAACATTGGTCGCGGTCGGGGTTCGATTCCCCGCGGTCGTAAAGCTTTTTTTTCCTTTTTTGGTCTTGTTTGCTCTTCAGTTCATTCAGTTCAGATATGTTAAACAGCCATCTCCACCAGTCGCGTTGGTACGCCGACTAGTCCGTTTTGCACAGAACGTCCACACTCATTGATGCAGCGAGGCTCCCCAGTGAGGACAGTTCAGGGAGCAACATGGAACCAAGCCAAGCGTTGGGGCTGATAGCTTTTTACCTGGAAGGCCCTCCCGCCTCCATAGAAAACTCTGAGACGAGCATCATAGCTGGCGAAAGAAGACTCACCTGTCACTTTCGTTGAACATATGTGGCTGCGAAGCGTAACACTGATAGGCAGACACGAGGGCGAGGATTTAGGGGCATCAACCTATGCCGGGCTAGTGCTCGCATCGATTTCTCAACATTGAGCGCGATTCTCTCCACTCGCACAGGTGCGTCCATCCTGATGCCCATCCCTCTCATCATCCCTGACCACGATCATTGACGCCTGGGGAGGAACTCAGAAGACTAGCTGCATATCGACAGCCGATGCGACATTTGGGCCATATTGCGAGGCCGTCTACTACCTCTTGCCAAGACCCATTTCAGTTGACACCGGCTCCCTCTTCAAGGGGCTTTCAACAAGAGGAAGAGGGTAACAAGAGGCAGGGGGTGACAAGAGGAAGAGGGTGACAAGAGGAAGAGGGCGACAAGAGGAATAGGGCGCCAAGAGGAAGATAGCATTCATTGGAGAGTCGCTCACAATCACAGCTGCCCCTTAGCCCACTCGGTGGTCTGTGCCGCCAACTCGACGGCGGCCAAAGCCCAGTCTTCACCATGGTCTAGGGGTCAGCGCTATTTTTGCCATGAAACGATCAACTCACTGTGACCCTTCTTCTCTCCCCTTCCGATACCGGCCCGCTCCAGAGCCTGGTCGTCCGTGAGAGCGGTGAGAACGCCAAAGATGACCGGGGTGCCAGTGTCCAGTTGGACCTTCATCAGGCCATGGGAGACGGCGTCGCAGATGTACTCAAAGTGCATGGTCGAGCCCTTGATCAAGCATCCAATGGCGATGACCGCGTCGAAAGGTCGCGTGCTGGGTCCCGCGGCGGCAGCCTGCTCGGCCTTGGGTGCGGGAGTGCTGGAAGTGGTCGACGAGTCGATGAGGGAGAGGAGGTTGGTGGTGGAAGCGATCATGCTCGGGGCGGCGTTGGCGGATTGGGTCTTTCCTCCCTCGATGAGCTTTTGAGAGGCAAAAGGGAGCTCGTAAGAGCCCGGGACGGTCTTGACGACAATGTTCTCCTGCTTGACGCCTTGTTCCTTTAGCTTGGCAATGGTGCCGGCGACGAGGGCGGAGATGACGGCGTCGTTCCATCTGGCGTGAACGATGGCGATGCGGTAAGGGGAGCCATCGTAGGATTTGGGAGGAGGCGGGAGGCCTTTGACGGTTGGGTCTGACATGGTCGTGGGTGGCAGTTGGGAAGGGGTGTGTGGTCGAGGTGGATGATGATGCTGATGGTGATTCCCGGGTCGGCGGCGTTCACCGATTGGAGATGTGCTGGCCAAGGCGGGAGCAAATTGGGGCTTGTAATGAGCTGTCAAGGGACAGCTGTAATCGTGGGTGGGTCGATCATCCTAAGCGAGGCACCACTCGACACCACCCCACTCCTCGAGTCGTGATAAACGCCTAAAGTGGGGTGATTGAATAATCTTTTCCATTTCGAATCGATTCAAATCAATTCGTTTGCGAATATTTCGGCCTACGTCGAAGGAAACTGCCCCGAATCACCCGAAGACCCTGAACCCCCCCTCTTCCTCATTTTAACTCGTTTCCCCGAATCACAACTCTCTTTCAACAACTTACCTCGTCTTCTCCAACTTTGCCCCCCACCCAAAATGTCTCTTCAGAGAACCACTGCTCAAGCCCTCCGGGCCGCCTCCAAGTCGGCTACCCGACAAACCGTCGCCAAGCGATCCATGTCCCTCCTCTCTAGACAAGCTCCCCGAGCTGCCTTGGCCGCTCAGGCCACTGGCGTCCGAGGTGTCAAGACCTTGGACTTTGCCGGAACCAAGGAGGTTGTCTACGAGCGAGCTGACTGGCCCCTCGACAAGCTCCAAGAGTGAGTGATGCGACGAGCCCCACAGATCCATGATGACGCGTGCTGACCGCCCCTCGCAGCTACTTCAAGAACGACACCCTTGCCATGATCGGTTACGGATCCCAGGGTCACGGTCAATCTCTCAACGCCCGTGACAACGGTCTCAACATCATTGTCGGTGTCCGAAAGGGCGGTGCTTCCTGGAAGGAGGCCCAGGAGGACGGATGGGTCGAGGGCGAGACCTTGTTCGACATCCCCGAGGCTATCAAGCGAGGTACCATTATCATGAACCTCTTGTCGGATGCCGCTCAGTCTTCCACCTGGCCCGAGATCGCCCCCTTGATCACCAAGGGCAAGACTCTTTACTTCTCCCACGGTTTCTCCGTCGTCTACAAGGAGGACGTAAGTGGACCTTTTTCTTCGTTTCCCGCAGATCCAAGAAACCCAAACTGATCCCGCCAGACCAAGGTCGTCCCCCCCAAGGACGTCGACGTCATCCTTGTCGCCCCCAAGGGATCCGGACGAACCGTCCGAACCCTCTTCCTCGAGGGCCGAGGTATCAACGCTTCCGTCGCCGTCTACCAAGACGTCACCGGCAAGGCCAAGGAGAAGGCTCGAGCTCTCGCCGTCGCCGTCGGTACCGGTTACGCTTACGACACCACCTTTGAGAAGGAGGTCTACTCTGACCTCTACGGAGAGCGAGGTGTCCTCATGGGCGGTATCCAAGGAATGTTCCTTGCCCAATACGAGGTCCTCCGAAAGAACGGACACTCCCCCTCTGAGGCTTTCAACGAGACCGTCGAGGAGGCCACTCAATCCCTCTTCCCCTTGATCGGCAAGTACGGTATGGACTACATGTACAACGCCTGCTCCACCACTGCCCGACGTGGTGCTCTCGACTGGGCCCCCAAGTTCAAGGAGTGAGTCTGCGAATTGAGTCGTACACGTTCGTTCCGCGCTAACATCTCAGGGCCAACTTGCCCGTCTTCGAGGCCCTCTACGAGTCCGTCCGAAACGGTTCCGAGACCCGACGATCCCTCGAGTTCAACGGTCGAAAGACCTACCGAGAGGACCTCCAAAAGGAGCTCGACGAGATCGACAACCAAGAGATCTGGCGAGCCGGAAAGACCGTCCGACAGCTCCGACCGGACGCCAAGAAGGAGGACATTTAATTTGCTCGCCTTGTTGGATTGTACTTTGCCCCTTTACCTACCTCATCATACACTCAAAAATACATCTCCCCCTGACATATGTTTTATGACTTCCGGTTGGTCAGTGATATCGGAGAGCGAGATAGCGACGGCTGTTCCTGAATATGCATGCCTTGTTAGCGACTTGTGTGATAATGTGACAAGCTCCACTGACCTCGCTTACAATGGACAGCGTGGTGATCGGCTGACGGTATAGTCTCACCACCGCTGCCGACCGCGTCTGGAGCGGCGGCGTTAGGCCTAGCGCCGGTTAGATCGCTTGAGGCTTAAGTGGAGAGTCTGTCATGTCAAGCGGTGTTGACAAGGGGATCGGGTGACGACGGGCTACATGGGGCCTGCGCCGAGTGTGTAGACGACCTCAATTCATGCGTCTACCGACGACAAGCTCAAACCATTGTAATCATTACAGTGACATCACAACGTCCTATAAACAATGGTATAGCTAACGACATCTCCGTCCTCGTGGCATCGGCTACCGGTCGACGTGCTACTGGCCCATAAGCAGGCCCATCCTGCGTTGCAGACGTCTGCTATGACTTAGACCCATTGCGACTTGTCCCAGGAAGGATCTGATGGTCAGTGAACGATCCGGACGCTTGTCCAGGCAGCCTCTCCCTCACCTTGGAGGAAGGCACAAAGGACTTTACTGCCCGTTTGCAATAACGGGTGGCCCGCCACAATCTCCAAAAACCGCTGCAGCCCCTCTCGCCTGTGCTCAATCACCTCGTCCGTGAACCGATTCGTGAACACCTGCATGTCAGTCGACCGTCGCACGAGTGCCAAGGACGCTGCGTGAGCGCGTCTTGGCGCGATCGGCCGAGGAGAAACGCCGTGACGCACCTTGCCGGGAAGAGGGGGAATGTTAACTCTGGTCGATTCTCTCTCGAGGACATCGCGGAACGCCTCAAAGTCTGAGTAGCGTCTTCGAACGACCGAATGGCGGAGCTTGAAAGCGGGGATGTTGGTCTGGCGTCAGACCTGGAACTTGGGCGCCGAGGCTGCCACGAGGAAGGATTGACCGCCTGCGCAACCAGGGAGATTTTGACGTACCATGCATACAATCTCGTAGTCGGTATACATCTTTCGGCCCACACCTGAATGCGTTTAGTACTTTCGGACAAGACACAGGCATAGTAGCAAGCAATCTCACCATGGGTCATTGGATTTCTAATCTCAATCTCCAGGAACGACTCTGGCACGGCGTACATTTCGTCAAACTGCTCCTTCAGCACAAGATTTGGTGAGACGGCGTGGGAAATGCCAAAGGTTTCAAGGCACGCCAGTATGAACCCTGCACGCGGACTCACCGTCTGAGGTCGTCCTGCCATTCTCGCCATGTCGGAGAAAGTCAACCGTTGGGACGAGTCGCTCCTTGCGAAGGGCGAATGCGTGACCTCGACTGAGATCAGTGAATGTCTGGCAATTGGGATCGCTCCACATACTTGGGGGTGACTGCGGCCCGGGCGAGTAGTAGTCTATAGAGGGTCAGCTTGTCGCGCGACGGACCTGAGTCATAAAGGAGGAGACGTACCCCCTTGGGGCGCCTGCGTGTAGTGCTGCTGGGATTGCGGTTGGTCCATCGCGTAGATGCAAGAGGAGGACTTTCGATGTTGCTCGCTGCTTGTGTCAATGAGTAGAACACTGCCAAGATGATCCAAAGAGCCTTGGACGCCATCATCATCCTCTGTTAGCTATCGGCTCGCATGAGCGGGATCAA